TGAAATAGTAACTTAGTAAAGACATGTACATAGCGACACTCTGACTGTAAGGACCCTGAAGTTCTCACTGTAACTAATTAGAATCCATGGGTAAACCTCCGCCAGGTTATATGAAATGGAGGAACGTCCAAATAAACTGTTCAAGCATCTAGTAGACAACTAATCCGTTGACTGAGCGGACGTCTGGATATCTGATGATACGACAAATTATCGGATGATGAACTATGGGCACGGGCAGACATCCGCTAAAAGGAAACGAGGACAGCCTTTTTTCGAAAATAGTGACCAACAATGAAAAATGGGTAACCTTCAATAACCTCAAGGAGTGGCAGTGCCTTTCAAGTTTGCCGTCGCCCAAAAAAATAAGATTACGCATTTAGTGCGTGAGCTCCTTCTTGTCGTCCCAATTCAGTGCCATGAACAGCTCGAGTAGTTAAGGCAATACGTCTAAAATAGAGCTCGCGGCTATAACTAACAGGAGGGTAGTTGTAGTTTACCACTGCAGTGTCCGTTTTCACTTACCACTAGCGACTTGCCAAAAATTATAGGCGTTTAATTGGGATATTTTGTCTCACCGGTTATCACCTTTTATGATTTTTGCAAATCTTCCTTAAAGGAAAGGATTTTGTATCTTTAAAAGCTATGAATGCCTATATTGACTAGCTAATTGTAGATACGAATAATAACTCCTAAAGAAATTGAAAGGAAAAAACTACCTAAAAGATGATCGTTAATGATGAGCAATGTATATAATATTGATCAATATTATGTCAATCAAGCCATTCAATCTTTATCAAAGTTGGCTGGCAAAAAATGGTTTCTATTCCAAATTCATTAAAGTGTTGATGCGAACTTACCCCAATATTGTATGAGAGGAGCAGCAGACAAACATACGTTTTTTACGTACAAACACACGCACAAAAGACCAAAGAATCAATAAATAATCTATATAGAAAAAAATGGTATCTAAGTTAAGTACAATAGAGCTAGTTTAAACTGTAAGCCTCTACTTTTCGCAGCGATAGACTCATGCTGAGTTTTTCTTTCCGAGGCTCATTTGCACTCGTCCTGCCTATGACAAAGGGACCTGGATATTCTATCAAGCTGTTCGTCAAATGCTCAAATGTTATCAAATTATCTTTGCCCGTGTACGTGCTATCCAAGTTCGTACCAAACAAAACTATCTCCACTTCTGACACGTTTTTCAGCATCAAACTGTCGTTTGCCCTCACCTCTCTTCTGTCCTGTGTTTCTATCTGCCCTGCTCACCTTCATCTAAAAGCTCCTCTTTCTTTACATAAATGTACATAGAGCATCCACACTATAATAATAGCGTTATTCTCGATGATCATAACGATCAGACTGATGTCCACTTGCATTCAGTGCATCTAGTACGACTCGTTTTCGGAGCGGCGACGCAGTTAACGCGAAAACGTGCGAGTGTTGGGGCAGCTATGTCCTTCGGAGAGAAAGCCTGAATGCTGAGAGCCTTAGGGAAAAGATGATAATTTAGCCAAATCTCCTGTATGAAACATTACCGCCCAAAAGCGCGTCTTTGGCGCTGTTTTAAGCTACTACCGATCTCACCTTACATTCTTCATTTTCCACGCGACTAACGCAGCACTAAATAACTCAGGGTCGCTTAGAAAATAGAATAGACGCCGTTGAATCAGGGGGTTCAAGGCGACAATCCAGACTACTAGGCCTGTAGAGACAGGCTAGAGTGGGGAGAAATTCGAGAACAGGTTATTAGGTAGGCTAAATTAAAACAGATTGCTTTAGACGACCTTAAATAGAATGCATAGACAAAGCGTGCACCCGTGTCAAGCAGTAGAGTGTAGAAGACAGAAGACTTCGTTGAAGGGCAGTCAAGCGCAGTGTATAGTATAGTCGGATGGCATCGAGAGTGGCGACAGTGGTCCGCTGTACCGTTCTGAAATCGGTCGAATGAACTTGGTAATTTATGAGAGATACTGGTGGGAAATACTTCATAGGAAATGTAATGCTTAGATTCCATTGCTAGTTCAAATTTGTTCCGACGTTTATTGCTTCGTCCTTATAGGTTGATTACCCCTGAATTATTTCGAACGCAACAAGTGGTAAATTTCACGCTCCGTAATTGCATGTTTGTCATCATCGTCAATAGCGTCATCTGGTTAAATTGTTGCTAATCGAACAAGTTTCGGGACGTTCCCGATATATTATAGATGAACACGATTGGTAAATAGGAGCTCAAAGATTTATGCCACTTATGATGTTCTGTCTTTGATTTATTATTACGTTCATATTGACCAACCATTGGATATTTCAAACAACAGTTTAAATTGTAGTACGCGACCTCCGTCGACGTCATAACCAGGAGCAGATTTCAAGGCACTGAGATAAAGGCAAAAAACGCGCTCTTAAAATTTCGATATTTGCGGTAAATATTTCTCTTCCGCCTCGGAAAGCACCAAAAACAGCAACATATAATATAGTATCTTAGAAGCCACACCTAATTGATAAATTCTATTTAGGTCATTGTACTTAATGTCCAAAAATCTCTTTGAATAATACTGACTCCTTTAGCAGTAAACGTTGACAAACATATTGTCACGTACCGATTCCTATAACATATCTCTATTTATTTCTTATTTCAAATAAATTCGCTAATAACCGTAATGCTGTAATAACTAATTTCCATAAAAGACGCGTAGCACAAGTAATAACTTCTAGCTTAAAATGCATATGAACTTTTCCTTTCTGCCGTTGTCGATGACTAGAAAAAGACAAAATTGGGTTTCTAGGAGGAAAATCACCTTTATTCCACCTCTCTAGAGCATTTTGTCGGTGGAGGTGTCTGATAGGACTTAGTTACGCAGATAATCAGGACTCACAATCAATCTACGAAAATATCATAAAAGAATCCACCATAAGATTTTTTCTTAGAGAAACAAAGCATCGCTTACCTCTGTAGCGCTGGTGATATCACTGTGAGTCTCACAGTGTGCTCCTTAACTTTAGCATAAAACTACTAGCAACGGCCCAACTTCCATTTCGCACGCAAGACTGCGCACGTTTACCAACTGTTGAATAAACGTAACCATTGTAATGCTAAATAGCCTGTGCCTGCTACCCTACCTAGGCTTCTAAGTGGTTGGTCTTAACCTACTTGATGAGAGGCCGTTTGTGCGTTTTCTGTTGGGCCTTTATATATTAGTGCTTTCCAAGGTCGAAGCTACAGAATACTGGTTATATGTCATTATACAAGAATCAGCGTTAAAGGAGCGTGACCATCTATGCTCACCTCTAGGTGCTTTGTTTTTTCTAAGGCAATATTATGCGATTACGCGGGCTTCAATGCTTTAACTTACCGAATTATCAAGCTAATTCTTAACGTAGCGTAAGCAGGCGCAATGCCATTCGTCAATCGAGGCCGAATAAATAACATAAATGATGCTTTGCCCGTTTTCTATAGATTAACTCAACCAATCCTGAACGATCTTATTCCGTGACCGTCTGAACGATCACACAAAGCCAAGCATCGGAAAAAAATTTTTTGATCTCACCAGCGTTTATTGTACAACGCGTAATTCTTTTGCTAAAAAGGAACATTGCATTTGGGCAAGGCATCGCCTATAGCTGCATCGATTTTTGCTATCAGCTTTTACAGTGTGTACCGTCGTTCTTGACTGGCAAAAGCGATTCTGTATCCGACGTTTACAACCAGCACATATGACCATCATGACAGACCATTACCTACATGAGGGCCAAAGGGGATATCCCAAGTTTGCGATTCTCTCTCGTTAGGGCCATTTGCAGCGGCTCCTTGGCATGTCCTAGCAACGCGTGAAGGTGAGTTAGGCCGCTAAAAAATGTGTACCCAAAGATCTCGACTGTTATGCGTTGCACAGATGGCACAAAAAGTGCACTCAACGAAACGGGAATAGCCCAATCAGGCCAAATTTAGTGAAACCATCCAATGCTCCGTTTGTTACCAGCGACGTTGTCTCTGCTTTGGTGCGCCCCTTTTTTTGTCTCTTCGTTTCCCTTTTGCTGTTTTTCCTATATCTTTTCTTCGTAGTTTTTCTTACATCTTCGCTGATACCGAAGTTCACCTCATGAACAGCTTTTTTTCCCAGCAAAAAAGGAACGAGGCGAAAAAATCGTAGGCGCCGACATGCACTCACATTTTCTTTGCTATATACTGTCTACTACTATACCTTCGTTACGCAACAGTCCACCATATACCTGTATATATGAAACAAGAGTGACCGAAAGCAGCAGCAACAACGGGTAATCGACAGATGTGTCTGATGTTCAAAACCCAACAAAAGGATAGATTATGATAGGTTACGGCCATTGCCGGGGACAGCGTGGCGTAGAAGGCTGTCGACAGTAACCGTGAACTGGCTTACTTGACTTCGCTGGTTACTCCCAGATGGTCTGAGCAAAGCAAACGCAACAAATGACGATTTCGCTTTTTCATTTTTTGGCCGGCTTATTTCCTACCCTTTTTTCCTCTTATCAGTTCTATAGACAGACTGAAAACGGATCCGTTATCTGATCATGCATCGCTAACGACTGCTCGGTCCCATTGACCGCAGTCTCAAAAATGTTGATAGGCATCAGAAACTCAATGATAGAAAGTCAGTGAATTCGCATCCCTAAGGGGATCCCAGCTACAAAACAAAGGAAATTTAAATGTCTGTGGCTTGCGTCAAGGCTAAGGTCCGTACAAAAGCGGTGACCTACGAAAAGACGGAACATGCAGCACGATGCTCACACTAACTTTCAAACAATGTTAACTAACAGCTAAAGGGTGAGATGAACCCAGTTGAGTCCCTGTAGGCTTGCCTACGTCACTGTGGCACCGTTCGTAGCACTGAACGAGTTTTAATCCACATACTGAGAGAGGAAGAGGCGTCCCATCGTCCCGCTAACTGCTTAGCACTCACACTACATGGGTTTCGTTGCTTGCTCCAGTAGTACCCTTTCTCAGGACGACCCTTTCCAGGGCCATTCTCCTCAAGACCTTGGTCGAAAATGAACGGCAGAAGGCAACTTGAAACCCGGCCCATGCTGCACAGCATTTCTCGGTTATCAAAGAGGCAGGAATGCATGGCGGAGTGGTGGCCGCGTCAGGGATTCACCCCGTGCTTCGTCATCATAGGTAATGTCTAGACTCCTTTACACTGTCTGGAGTTTGCGGATAATTAAGAGGGGATGAAAAATTTGATCAATTCCCTTCCCTGAAGAAGCTGTCTTAGCGGCAAAATATACGCGAGTGTAATGGTGAAACTGTTGCGAACTGGAAGGCCATACCGCTACCGTTTCTATTGATGGGACAAAGTAGCCGTGATCCGCTTTAATCTACTGTTTGTTTGGTTCCAACCATCTGTGTAAATTCAATAACGTGCCATAAAAAAAGACGATCTGTTATACTATAGTTGACGTTGTTTTGTGACCAGTGTGGCGGCGTGAACAGTTATTTTTTTCATCATTTTCCACTCGTTGAAAGGTACGCCGGCGAACGCACATCTCATCCCGAAACAATGTAAGGAGCCAATCGTTGTGTATAGGTTGTCTGTCTGAGTGGATCTGAGAACGAACGAGGCCGGGTTTACGTATGTATCCTGCTGTAATAGCGAGCAACAGAATCCAATATAATTAGTGGCAACGATTATAATAACAAACAGAGGCAAAGCAGTAAGACAGCAGGCGAAAGTGTGCGAATAACCGTGCGTAAGAGACGCTTTGTGTGATGTATAAATAAACAGAACATTGCTTGGTCAGCCAATCCAGTGAGTAAAAGTCAGCCGGTAAACACATACACACATAGTGACCAAGCAATGAGGCAGAGATCTGGTCAATAAATATAATTGTTATTATATTGCTTGCGTATCTTGTGGCGTCCATAGCGCTGTTATTGAATACAACAGCTGTGAACCAATCTATACAACGGGTATTGTTGGCCTTACAGATACTGGCGTTGAAGGGCATTCTCTTAAGGAATAGTAATAATACTAAGAAATTGATTCATGTGCTTTGTGATGAGACTTTAATGATACACAGTGTATCTCGTATCGTAAGTGACCGAAATTAAGGATGTTGTCGATATTTTTTGCGACGCGTGTACTGATACCAGCATTACGACAACGTACGTCAACACTCATTGATAACGGTTAGTACTATACAAACAAACACAATATTAATAGTGACTCCCATTACAATAGAAAAAAATATTCACAAAATGCTTCCGTAAGAATGGTCCTCTTATATCTAAACGTACCAGGTAATCTATCATCATTTCTGCCTTCCTTTACCTTGGACTACAATAGGCTTAGTCGAATTAAGCTGGCGCCAGCACAGAAGCTCGACACTAAAGCTAATAAATCATCATAAATTGTCACAATACGAAGGCGATTCGATACGAAAAATTTTTAAAATTAGGTATAACTTTAAAGATCCTTACCTATCACATAACTGCATTAGGTACTTTAACATCTGCGAATTTAAGATATAGCAAAGGTAAATAATTATTAAGATAGATGTCAAAATATCAAGGACGGGTATGGAGACAATTTCTAATCATCTTATCAATATATAATATAAAAAACATTTTCAAGAAAAGGGGAGATATAGAATAAATGACTGTACCTCAGCAAAAATCGTGAACTCGACAGATTGAAAGGTCAAGTTCTCTTAAAAGCAATTCCAGCCTTGAACGCATGGGAATCGTATGTTTACAAACAATTCTACCAGGACATAAATTATTAATGGGTTTGCAGTGGACAACCCCCGACTCTGAATGGATGTGGTTTCCACGGAGTCCTCCCTCCTGACAGGGAAACGGATCATTATGCGCATACGACCAAATCACAATCCCTTGCGTGCAACACGAATAATGCCGTCAGGTCGAAACGTACCGTCGTTGAGTAGCTGAAAGAAGGCAACGAAGCTTGGCCTGCCTTTTTTGCATTATTGTTACATCCGAAAGACGTACGCTCAGAACAAATTTTGCTCTTCCAATATCTTCTGCCCCCTGACAGTCTTTCAGGTTGCTAAGTCGGATGTTTAGCTTTTTCATAACTGCTTAATGATGCCAAATGATTTACCTAAAGAGGATAAACTAATATTTACAATATTTTTTTGCACTAGTGCGCGACGGGCTTAGCGAACGTAAAACACTAAACCTATGTTCAGAAATAAAGCAGTGTACAGATGAGAACTACACATGATACACGTGACCAAACGGGTCTCCCATAAGGTAGCTGGAAATAAATGGGCTAATTGATGGGCATTTTGCTTGTTAGGATATGAGCAGTGTTGAGCAAAGTACAGCATGAAAAATAAATTTGCTTTTCTCAACCAGAGATCTCATCAAACAATTCTGTACTTTTAGTTTGTGAAACCTTTGTGACGTTAGTTAGTTGCAAAGGCTTCAGTACCACAATTCTATTTATCTATGCATTCCATGAATTTTGCGAACATAAATCAACCTATTCCAATGTTCAAGATATTATATCGCTACAAATAAACAGTTGTCTTCCTTTCGATGTTTAAACTGATTGAGTCGTCTTCACCAATGCGAACCCTCTTTCGAGTAACGTAAGGTATTCGAATCCGTGGCACTTTGATGTACCATTGAAGGCCATGCGTTAAGTCACGTGTGTATTGTCTCCCCGTCCCATCAGAAGCCACCATCCTGTCACCCCCCTGCGCGAACGGTGACAGGGAAGCTGAAATTCAAAACGAGAGGACGAAATAGCTGGAGAAAGAGAACCGAGTCGAAGGCAAGGAGGAAAGTTATAAAGAGTGAAAGTGTGGGGACGGAGGGTGCGGGGACGTTCACATGTTGTGGCATAGTCCCCAAATGTGCTTTGTACGTCTGCGGGCTACTGAAGCTCCCTTCGGCCGGCCGGCTGGCTGCCTGCTCAAACCTTGAGGTGAACGATCCCGGTGCTGTCATCGCGGTTGGAGAAGTACTCCGCTTGCTTTTGAGATCGCACTGTTACCCCTAGTAAGCGTTAGTGGACTTGAACCTTTTCGTCTTCTTTGGAGGCGCGCGAGGCAGCGACCCGTGGAAAGAAGCAATGCGGATAGGCTGGGAATATTGTCTTATCACCACTGTCAGTTGAGATGGCTGCACATGTGTGTCTGTGCCAACAACAACTGGGACATGTAAAGCCACTTGTGTGGGCTCGTGAGCTGTATGATTAACCATTGGTAACTCCCATTGATGGTGTATATTTCTGGTGCTGCAAACCGCGTCGGAACCCAGTAGTTTGTAAACGTCACACAGGTGCGAGTTAGCTCAGTGTGTGGTACGCCGGTGGCTGCGCTTCTAAGGATCAAGATATGTTTTCCAGCGCCTCAAATGGCTTTCACGTTGATACGAAGTATCTGACATATTTTGTCTAATTTAGCAATGTGCAGCGACATCGGCTGGGCGATATGACACGATGAGCTCGATAGATAACGTAGCGGTACCGAGGTGTTAAATGTTGAAGTCCAGCAAAAAACGTCAGACTACATTTTCGTAAGCTTTTCCCCTGTCTCCACTAATCTCCCCACTATTTTATTTTCAGAAGTAAGGAAGGTGACGCATTAGGAATTTGAGTCGCGTGAGTCATTTTTCTGAGATCACTAATTCTCTGAACTGTTGTATGTAGATTCTTCGTGTTCTGTGCTTAACCAAAGAAAGGGTTACAGTCTGCAAATCAGGAGTTACTTGTCTCCGTTCTGAAATATAAATGTGACTCACTTTTAAGGCGAGCATTTATCCAAACAATACCAGCAAGCTTACAACCAAAGCTTATAGTCACGATAACATTTACTCTTATAATATATCGACTAGATGATGCATCATTACTAGAAAAAATTAAAAAATTAAGAATCGAACAACAAAGACCCCAGAGTGACTTCGTACACTACTTTTTTTATTACAGGTTGTCTGGATCTAACCTAGCTGCGTCCTAGCAGCAGTCTACTGTATTGTACGCAAAAACCCATTGGTCTAGTCACTTTTGTAGTCCAATACTTAATTTGGCGCTTGTTTTTTGCTCGTTTCAGTTACTTAGTGTGGATCTCTGAATGTTTCTTTAGCAAATATTTGTTACATTCGGAGCACCTTGACGCGCCCATATTTCATCTCGTATCCGGAAGTACTTCTAAAAACGACACAGCACTCTTACGGCGTTTAGTGTCGGAAAAAAATGGGTGCTTGTGAACATTAGTCTGGAGCCATTCGCTGTACCTATTTTTCGAGCTCTTGAAACGGGCTTGCGCGCACAATATGTAAGCTCAACTCGCCCCTCGAACCCCATGTACTTCGGGCCGATTTCTGTGCATATACTGTTTTCCCACCTTTTGAGCGCTCTGTCTCGAGTTGTTTGCTTTACCCGCTGATTAAGTCACCATTATTGGAACCGAATCATTAAACCTGCTAGCCGCTATTGATGCTTGTCAGACGTAGCGATGTGACATAGATAGGCAGGTGCCACTGAAATAACACCAGCGTACGGGGGCGGGCTTCGCGGTGCTATGCAATGTAATACAAGCCAAAAGAGTTTTCTCTCTTTTCACACGGCTCTTTTGCGACAGTCCATATTTCGCCTTTCGCCCAGCCTCTGATAGACGGTCACGTGTTACAAAATGACGCAATGTATAGGCCTTCACATCATGTCTTTTTGGCGCCCCGTCCACAAGGACGATTGAGTGGTGAGTGTCCTCCAATCAATGAGCCTCGATGTCTCACGTGGATCAGTTGATGAATATGCCATGGATCCATTTCCGTACATTGTCACCAAGAGCCCCGGAATGCTGCCAGCTTTCCTTGCGACGGCTTGTAACAAAGCGATGCATTGCTTTCCATTTGCTCTATCATAGTTCTCATACAGCATAGCTGATGTAATGGTCAAGCGAAAAAGGATAACGTAGAACAAAAAAAAAATACTTAACAATTTCTTACAGTTTAATCATACCCTACGCCTAGAACACATGGCTCAACGGGACGTCGAAATCGTATTACATGGTCTAACATTGTTGTTGTCCACTGTACAGCCAACGTCTCCGATGCTATGTTGATCTTTCTCACAGGGCTTGAAAGGACTTTGGACTACTTTAGTTCGTCTTTAGTTCGAATATCACGGCCAACTCATCCTAAAAACAAAGTTAATATGTAGGCTTCAACAAAACCTTTATAAACGTGCGTGGGTAAAGCATACGTTCTCACTAGAATTCGATGGTTCACCCAACCTGGAACATGCGACTTTTGCAGTTGCGTGCTTAAGTTTTGACGTAGTGAGTAGGGGGTTTGGGGATGGATAAATAAGGTTATGTAGCCGGTCCACCTTGGGTTCGACGCCCCATAATTATGTGGAAACCTAGACGAGTTTCTTGCCCTGGGAGGGCTAAACGCGCAGCGGATTCGCGTATGAAGGCTCGTTATAACATTTCTATAAGGCGTTCAATAAAGAGCACCGCTGAGCACGAACTCTAAAATATGAGCTATTATTAAATATATCGGCGATCCTTTTAATCCTTAATCAGGCAGCATACGCTGGTCCCGGAGCGCTAGTCACGACACATATTCCCAATTTGATAATGCCTTTTATTTAGGCATAATTTCAACCTTCACTTTCCGCTGTTTGCAGTCGTTTGTCGATGCGAAATTACTGCTTGAGGTAGCAGCGTCAATCCTTATGTATACGCATTGTGCCTATAAAGTATTAATTTCATGTCCTGATTTGTAACAAGCAAGAAGAAAGCAACATTTCCTGAGCTTGCAGAGGAAAGATTTGGATAGTATTCTTCCAATTATCGAATCGTTCTCAGACAAATGCTTGTGATTTCGTTCGTTCCCTCATTTTGTTAATTGATCCTTGCGTTGATCTTCTCTTGTGGGGTATATTAGTCTTATCGTCTTAGCCGATCAGTTAGCTATTGACAAGTTGTAAAATGTTCCGGGTTTTACAGCCAGAACCACCAGTTCTCAGAATGAAACACAGTACCTCTACGCAATGAATCTAAACCACCACGCGTCCCTAACAAAAACGTTAGCCTACAGAGCTATCACGGTGACAAGCCAAGCAGATTTTGAAAGCCTCATTATCATTGGGAGTTCCTTTTAGAAAAACGGATACATTTTAATCAAATTGTATAACACATATTCTTTGCGCT